AGGGGTTCACTTTGGCCTGGGAAGTCAAGTTCAGCATTCGCTTCAATGATATCTGGCGCCATCTAGCGTCACGAATGGGTATAATGGCTAGACCCCGAATATAAGACGACCCCCACTTTTTCAGTCTTATTTCAATGCAAAAAAACGCTGTCTTATATTCGGGCCAATACGGTATTATTATTATTATTATTTTTTTTTCCCCTCAGGCCTGGACATGCCAGCAGCCGTGTGGAAAGTTGTTGCCATGCCGCCAACACACGTGTTCCCAGCCGTGCCACTCTGGTAAACACACATGGAGTAACCAGTGGCGTCTTTTTCTCTTTCCTATACAATCGGCATGGGTGTTTGTGTGTGTCTGTGCCAGAGTGTTCCCCCTGTCCCAAAGTCAGCGTTTTTTTTTTCCCCTCAGGCCTGGACATGCCAGCAGCCGTGTGGAAAGTTGTTGCCATGCCGCCAACACACGTGTTCCCAGCCGTGCCACTCTGGTAAACACACATGGAGTAACCAGTGGCGTCTTTTTCTCTTTCCTATACAATCGGCATGGGTGTTTGTGTGTGTCTGTGCCAGAGTGTTCCCCCTGTCCCAAAGTCAGCGTTCAGAAGTGCATGTGCGGTCGGCAACAATCGGAGAGACCTTGCGCCGGCCCAAAGTGGAAGTGCGATCGTGTACGTAGCAGACGGGCCACTTTAATGGGGAACAGTTGGCTGACACAAAATGGCTGACTGCGCCTTTGTCCCGTTCATCAGACGTGCGGCGCCACCCTCTCTTGTGGGAATCACACCTGTGAGCTTGTGTGCCACGACGGACGTTGCCCGCCCTGTCCCCGCTCGCTCAGCAGATCGTGTCCATGTGGCAAAGCCAGTGAGACGCACACACACACGCGCGTTGAGTCTTTGCTAGGATTGAAAACGGGTGAACATTTTCCAGTAAATTTCAACGTGTCCTTCAGAGTCCAGCCTGCCGTGCACGGAAGAAGTGTCGCTGTGTGGAGACACGTGTGAGCGCCCCCTGTCTTGCGGGAAACACACCTGCTCGATGAGGTGTCACCGTGGGAATTGTGACACCTGCCGGCAGGTAACACACATTTCCCCTGCGCGTGCGTGCATGCGTGTGGCGTTGCTGTTGACCTGCTCTGTGTGCACATGCGCGCGTGTGTGTGTGTGTGTGTGTGTGTGTGTGTGTGTGTGTGTGTGTATCAGGAAGTGGAGAAAGAGTGCCGGTGCGGGAAATACAGGAAGCTGATGGCGTGTCACAAAGAATATTTATGTGAGTCCAAATGTTCAAAAAGCAGAAGCTGCCAGAAACATCCATGTCGGAGGAAGGTGAGTCACCATGCCGGTGCCCGTCTGCACCCCCCCGTCCCCCTCCCGCTAACCCCCGTTTCCCTCCTGACTTTTGTGTCAGTGTTGCCCTGGCAACTGCCCTCCGTGTGACCAGATCTGCGCTCGGACTCTGGGATGTCGCAACCACAAATGTCCGTCCGTGTGTCACCGAGGTAACGCACATTTACTTTGATTTACAGTATGTGTGCGTGCATGCGTGTGTCTGATGGGTATTCTCGCACCGCCAGGAAGTTGTTATCCCTGTCCAGAGACGGTGGACGTCCGTTGCTCGTGCGGCGCCGCCTCCCTGACGGTGCCGTGTGGACGCGAGCGGAGCACCAAGCCACCTCGCTGCAAGGAGCTCTGCAGGTACGCACGCCTCCTGTTACAGTAGCCGTCTTTTTCCTCCTTCTGGGCGAGCTTGTATTTAGACGCGGACGGGTAGCAAGTTAACAAGTGCAAAAATGTATACGGTGTCATGGGTGCGTCAACTCGGCTGTCGTCACCCTCCGCACCATCC